GTCCTGCTGAGAATTCACAGGCCATTAGTATCTGTTAGAGTCCGTTCTTTTTTCTGTCTACATCTTTCTTAAGAATCTCCAGCTATTGATGCGATTCTGATGAGTGGTGATTTTAGGATGAGTGAAAGTAAATTCTCACATTTAAAAAAAAATCTAAATAAGGTATGTCATCGTTACCTCAGAGGTATGACAACCAAAAGACACATTAAAAAAAAAAATCTCTGTGAACTAGAAATCCTGTAATTCAATAAAGACAGGGTAGTGATCCAGAGACATGGAAGCATTCAACAAATCGATGATTCTCAGAGGGAAGGGGGGAGAGATTAATCAAAGAACTTGTATGCATATATTCATAACCCAAGGACACAGACAATAGTGTGGTGAAGGCCTGAGGAAGGGGTGGGAGTGGGGAGGAAGAGGCCAATGGGGGATAAAAAGGAGACATCTGTAATACTTTCAACAATAAAGATAATTTTTTTTTTAAAAAAAGAAGCTTCTGTGATTTAAAGGACAAGATGAAGTGTGCATGCATGAACAGGGAGAAAACAGAACATTTTGGCAAAAAAAATGATACTTCATAAATCTTCTGGAAGAGTTATTTTCCACCCCCTCCCCGAAGTTAAAGATATTACCAGAAGAAAATCCTGTATAATAAAGATGTGATATGCAAATGGTCGTTATGTGGTGAAGCATAATGACTGACCGTGTCACAACCGGATCAGCAGGAGTGTGGGGCAGCAAGCTACAAGTGAGCAGCGGAGAGCAACAGGAAGGGGCAGGGCAGCAAGCTATGAGGGGGGAGCTACAGGAAGGTGGCAGCGAGCTACTGGTGCACAGATTCGTGCACAGGCCTACTAGTATGGAGATAATATTGCTGCTTACTAGAAGAATATCATTCTTTGGATTATTAGTTAATATACTTTCATCTTCAAATAATAGCAGGCCTTCGTCAAAATATCTTAAATGATAAGAAGTGTTATTATCTTATCTAACAGAAATTCTGAGGAGTGGTTCCAGGGTTAGTTAACTCAAGAACTCACATCATCCATCATCCAAGTTCTTTCCTCTCTTCTCTGCCATCTTCAGCTTGTTGGCTTTTGTCTTCAGGCTTCTCCTGTCACCATTTCAAGAAGCGATTGTATTAAATGTTGGTACCACAGCTGCCATAATCATTGCATCCTTACACCACAATGTCCTTGTTAAGAGCAAAGAAACCTTGATACCCAGCAGATATTTTCTCATGTCAGAACAGCTAGATCAAAGACCCACCCTTAAATCAACCAATGATGGTGGAATGGGACCATCAGGATGGGAAGGACCAAGATTTACCTGCTTCTTAAGGAGGGGAGAGGGACTGACCATCAGAATGAAGACAGAGCTCTGTAAACATGGAGGAAGTGTGCTGGCAGGCCTTGTGAATGCTCCTCCTCAGTTCCCAGGAGATGTGCAGAGAGAAACCGACTAAAAACAAAACATAGGCTTGTGTTTTCCCCATAACAACCCCTTGAGGTGTATGCTAGGCTGTCCCTCAAGCATGTGTCATTGCCCAGCATTTTGTCATGGGTGTCTATGATGTTGTCATGGGGCCATTATCTCCCTCTAATGATACACCGATTTCCAGATGGAAATAGCCCATCTATTTTCCCATAGAAAAGTGATATCAGTGTGTGATATCATGAAGGCAGACACAAGTTTTGTATAAAGAGCTGCATAGTAGGCACTACCTTTCTCTCATTACTCTACCCACACCAATGGCCTCTTAGGGAATTATGTCTCACCCATTGAACGATGTCTTCTTGGTGGGACTGTGAATCAAATTTCTTGCTCACCAGCCAAGGAGTGGCATGTGACCTGAGCTGGACCCGTTTGACCCTCTATTTTTGGTTTATGGATGCAGTGATGTGAGGGTGGAAAAAATGATTGGAGCTTATTCATTCCAGCCGCAGAGTTGAGTGGTTTCCACTTTTAGAAATCCCAACGTACCCGCTACGGCCACCAAACCACCTTGTTTCTGAGCCGGGTTCTCCAGCCTTCCATTTGATTCTGACCTACTAGTAATATCTTTGTAAAGAGATCGTTTGTCCTGCTTAAGTTTCCTGAGTTGGTTTCTGGTGCCTGCTGGATACAAAATCTATTTTATTTCCTAAAGTCATAGGATTTCTCAGCTGTAAGAAACCTTATAAATCATCTGGCTCAGCCTCATTTTATAGCCAAAGAAACGGAAGCCCCAAGGGAGGAGGGTTTCACCCAAGATCACATCACAGGGCTCATCAATAGCAGAACTTTGAATAAGACCAGGTTTCCTTTGCCCACCGTAGTCCAGTCTGCTATTAATTTTAATCCTTTTTTTACTATAAACCACAGCC